GCATTAATGTGCATCTGATGAGCAGACATCTCACTTGCAAGCACTTTTTGCTTGCATGCACTTTTGTTAGAATAGCCTGTTTTTACACTTTGTTCCTGCACCAAATGTGCACCAACAATATTCAGGAAAAAGCATGGCGTAAATCATTCATCATAAGTCTGGTTTTACTTGGCTTATCAACACAATTTAAAAGTGGTTTATAGTTTGAAGTTTGCTCTTTCAACACCAGTTGAAACTCAGCGAGGCTGCGTTTCGCTTCTATGTCATCTTAAATCAGTCATGTGATTTGGATGCACCGGCGCATACGTGGACTCCAGAAGGTTAAAAGCTAAATATTCTTAAACTATTAAAAGCAAAAGCACTCACAATGTAAAACTTTTTTCCTGATGTCTTATCAGTTGTATAATTATGCATCAAGATGTAAGGGGCATTTTTGTTGTGACAGGTTGAGGTCATTTTAAATACTTAATTTACCGATTGGTGGTTTAATCTGCCAAACCTCCAAACTTAATGAAATTAAATAAATGAATCGTATCAACCTTTTGTGCAGTACAGTTTGAATATATAAACCTGTTTCTTTAATTTAAACATTTAAGTTCTGCATTGCCACAACCATAACAGTTAAAACCCTGAAGAAACTCCTTCAAACTCCAAACCCTGGATCACCCACCATGTATTGCCTTTAAGGCATATATTTTTTGTAAGACTTTTATTTTGAAGAGCATTGTCAGACTTGAGAGCAGTGTGACTTAATTAACATTAAATCACCTCGTGGGGCACAATACCAAAAAAGGAAAAAAAAAAAACAAATAAAAAAAAAAAAAAAAAAAAAAAAAAAAAAAAAATAAATTAGAAATTTGATTAATAATTAAATTAATGACAACAACCAAAATTAACAGTAATGCCTGAAGGATCTAAGAGTTCTTGATGCAGCAGAGGTTGACTATTCATTCACTCTTGTGCAACATTAAACTGACAGCAGGTATGATTCCAAAGAATTATATTTATTCACAAACTAGCAAAGCAAACCAAAACACACAAATTCTAACTAACTATATACAAGCTTGGTGTGTATATATGTGTGTGTGTGTGTGTGTGTGAGAGAGAGAGAGAGAGAGAAAGAAGAGAAAGACAAAGGCGGGTGTGGTGATCAAGCCGTGTGGTCTACAAAACAAAATGGCTGAAAACAGGGAACTACAAGATGGCTGAATCAAAGCTGGCTTCAGGTCGGGGGAGGTATTTGTCTGACCGTGTGGTCAGGACAAAGACAAAGGAAAGGAAGCGGGAACTTTGAGGTGCCTGCTTGGGTGTAGCTCTGTTGAAAGCCTATTTGTTAATGAGTCCATGTGAATGTGCTTTGTTTTGCAAACGGTCTGGATTAGTGCAGAGATTGTTTAGTTGTGTGCAAGAATCTGTTTGTGAACAGTATTAGCAAACTAAACACATAGCTTTGGCGAAGCCAACTAACAAATGACCTAACTGCAAACAATCACAACAATAACTCAATGACAGCATTAAATCACATACAACAAGTTAAACAGTCTTGCTTAGCCTGTAAAGCTGTGATAAAGCTATGCCCAGTTGTTACATTACCGATCCTTGAGTGGATGGGAGAAAGAGTCACTTGGTGGTGTACTGCTTTGTTAGCCGACAAAAGAAGGCTGGGAGAGCTGTGGTTTCAGCTGCAGTCTTTGCTGTGTCCTTGTTCCAAAGGTTCTGATCTGAGGAAGCCAGTCGCTCGGGGTCCTTGCAGAGTTAGACGTTGGGTGCTAACTCATTTAGTTCCTTGTTGCTGGAAAGCTAGTTGCAAACCTTGTGCTTGTACGTCTAAGGTTCTGGTTCAGGTTAGAGAGTCTGTGATCAATTGTCCCACCTTTGATGGTTCAGGGCAAGGAGCAAGGATCTGAGCATCTGGGCTGGCCCAGGCCCAGCCGGAAAGAAGTGTGTGCTGCTCCGCAGTTGGATCAAGAGAAGAGTTGTCTGAAGGGAGCAGACCTTGTACAGATGCCTGTGACATCAGAGTCACATGTCACTGTTAAGGTCCTGTCCAATCAAGTTTTGGGACTTGAGTCTCACTGAGGTGTGAGGTGAGACATCCTGTGGAGATGGGTGTCACATAGCTCTCTTTGTTTGAAGACAAAGTGCTTGCAGAGGAAAAAGCCTTCAAATGTCCTGTTTAGATTTTACCAAATGATCTCTGTGGTCCTGTGAATACCAACATTAGTTTGTGTTCATTTTGAAACCCGTTCATCTCCCCTTCTATCCACGATGTAAACACCACAGAGGCAATGTCGTGAGTAGCTTAATTCATAGCTACACTTATAAGGTAATGTTGAGAAGATATTTAGATTTAAAAGACATTTCATTGTAGTTGATAAGATTGTTTATTTACACATATTTACATGGAGAAATGTTAGCACGTTAGCAACAGAATGGTGATTTCGTTTGTATTCTGTTCTTATTACAGTTTTCACTCTGTAGGATGATGATAGAGCCTCACTAAACTTCAGCTAACGTTTAAAATGTCTCAGAGCATCATTTTATAAAGAGTTTAGCTAGTTGGATAGCTGCAGTTCATACATTGCAGTGAAGACAACACACACCACATTAATCACAGTCAGGCAAGTAAATAGGAAATATGAGCCGGTGGCAAAATTTTGGGCCTCTTATCCTCATCCACTGGGGGGTTGGGGTGGCACTAAAGAATAAAGTAATTTCCTCTACAATTTAGTCAGATTTTTTCATTTATAAGAAACACAGGTTACATGTCTTACATTTTCTGTGAATATAATCCAATTAAACGAAGCTTTGCATTAGTACATGCAGGACACAGAAGTCATACACCCCAACTATAATCAGCTGACAGACAGCTGATTGGATCATTGTTTCTTATCAGTCACACACCAATCACAGCCCATTTCCACACAAGGTGGTTCATTTTGATATGGCTTCCTACTCACTGATCCCTGCTACACCAATGCTGCCACACACCACTGCTACTGCTGCTGCTGCTGGGAAAGCTTTACCTCCGCCACCCCAGCCCCTACCATTCTAATTTAGAATCCTAACATGAATCTAAGGTTAAATGGTATTTAATGTCTTGCTTGGGCTCACTCTTATATACCTAGGGTTTTTTTTGGCATTGCACTCCCTGTTGTGGCATAGCATGCTGCTTGTCTAATCCAGGGAGCACCTCAAGAGAGCAGCCCGCAGCCCGCAGCCCCAAACATAACTGTCTTTCCATTTGTTGCAATAAATAGTTAAATCTATGATGAGAGTTTGTCATGTTTGTTTTCAGCCTGTCTCTGCCTTTCCCAAACCACCACAGATAATGGTGTGGAACTCTGTGTTCCTGTCCTTACTGCACAAACAAAGGCAAGGGCACCTTTGACAAGAATGATTTAACAGATGATGCAGGAGAAGTGGGAAATAAATCCATTGGAGTTTTTTTCTTGATGTTCATTTGCTAATCTTTGGTGAAAGAGCTCTGGCTACCTCAGCAGAAAACTGAATTTACAATAAAAACAAAACAATGTGCATCAACACACAAAGGAAGCCATCCATGGCACCATCTTGATCTGCCTTTTACAGTAGTGAAGGGTTATTTCACCAAAAATGTTGTGAGTCTGCTCAGATTCCTTTTAAAAATCTACTCATAATTGCATTCTTTATCAGGAAACTTGGTTGTGTAATAATACCCTTCATATAAAACAGTATGAACATCACTTGTATAAAAATTAGGCTTCGAATAACATAAATTATGTGTTATGACACTTATTTTATGCACCTGAGGATAACAGCACACAGCATATTGACACAACACCACATTATCCTCTTAAAACAATATTCATGATTGGTGGACCTTTACAGACCAAAGGAATAGAAATAACATGCCAGGTAATCAATGAATAGACACATATTCTGATTTCATGACAGATTCAGAAGAAAGGAGTTACCACTTGATTTTTCGTCATGCCGGTAGGCCTAAGTCTGAATGGCTTAGGGTCTTCTCCAGTGCTCATGGTTTCAGTAAAATGAAAACAACCAAACAATGTGTAGCACCTCCATCTTTACATAAGTTAAAGCTCAGCCTGTGAAAACGAGTGTATTTTGTCTTCTGCTGCTTTCGAGGGAGCTTTCCATAGCCTCTGGAGAAAACCCTGATGACATAATTAGTTTTTTTTCTTATCTCTGTTTGAAAAATGCATGCATTTACCAGGCTGGGAGGGTCAAACAAAGTGTGTGCTCCAGTGCCTCTGGAGCTTGCCAAAACTAAAAACCCAGTGTCAGGATATCTCTGCCTTTGCTGACATTGTGGCAGTACAATTCTATATCACTATAGTACCATTTTAAAGTAAAGCGTGGTACTGCACAAACTGACAAATAAAACCCTAAATTGTCTGACTTTGATAATATCTCTTTTGTGAAGGGTATCAGCAGTTCATCTTGGTCCTCATAAATAAATCAACTCTACTGTGCTATTCTCTCTTTCCTTAATGAAAAAAGAAATAAATTGTCATGGACACTGCTGAGGCTTCCTGTTCCCCTTAATCCTTGCCCTCCTGCAGCTTCTCCTGCTCACACCCCTCTGCTCAGTCTCCAGTGAGGATCTGCCAGCTTTTTCCCACCACTACACCAACCATGCCCACTGACACTCCTCAGCCTGCTCATTCTGCCACACCTGTGGCTTGTTAGCTCATTTACCTGTCAGCATTTATACCAGTCAGTTGGCCTTTGTTGTTTGCCAGATCGTAGTTTGTGCCTTTTTGGATCCTTTTTGACCTGTGCCTGTTTTTCATCTTTTCCCTCTGTTGGATGTCTCTGTGCCTTTGCCTGGTTATTTGTATTTTTGGTTCAACCTCTGGAAAGGTTTGTACTCTGCTCTGCCTGGGACTTTAAGTAAAGTGACTGTTTTGCCTTACTCCTGTCTGTGACCTGTGATTCTGCGTTTGAGTCTTCTGGTGTGTGACAGAAATATCTTGGGAGTCAGTAAGAAACAGTTTTATCATTTCTTTAAGTATAGCATTTATTTGAAGTAGCTTCATGTTGGCAAATCAAACATTTCTAATATATATGAAATTCAGTTAATGACTGATTTAATTTAGATTTTTAAATTCTTTCAGGTTCCATTTAACAGCATGTTAATATGTCACCTATTGGTGTGCATGTAGCGAATGCAGTGAGTAAAGCCAGAAAAAGCATGAGATTTCAGGGGATGGGTAGTCATGATGTCAGGTATTCAGAGCAGGACAGTCAGTGTGGACTCAACATTGAGCATTGTAAACACTCAACACTCAGCATTGTAAGGTGGAGGATCACTCAGAACGGTAGGTCTTGTTTCCTCTGGGTTTTTATAGCCTGTCACTATCTGCAAAACAACACAGCATAAGCGGTGGAGACACATGATTCACATAACTTTACAGATTTCCAACAAACCAGGCAGCTGACCTGTGAGGGGACATTAGCCACTGAGACAGATGGTGCTTGGAAAGTGGACGCAGCATGTGTAGTCACTGGACCATTCTCGGGTATGGAGACGATTGATGGCCGCTACAAGATAAACAACACACAGGGTACATCTCAGCTCCAGTAGATAGCCATACATCCAAGGAACTTCTATAGAAATGAATTGCTTGGCAGACCAGGTGTCTAACTGAGACAGGCCTTTTAATTGTCAAAACGTGTAGCCACACCCAGCTAGTAAAAGGGACTGGGCATTTAATTGGGACTAGACTTTTAATTGAAGTTGTATGGTATTTGCCAAGCATCTTCACACTCCTTTAAAACTGTTCTGTATTCATACTACACTGGACTTCACTGATCAGGGTAACACTACATAATACAGCCTGCGACTTAGAGGCCGTTTACACGTTGCTGGCTATTTTCATAAACGGACATTTCACCGTCTCCGTTTTCAAAAAGATCTTCGTTTACACTTACCCGTGTATATATACACAAGAGCATGCCAAACCTGTAGGTGGCAGTATAACGAGAAGCTCAAGCCTTCCATGTATCCATTGTCACCATAGCAACATAGGTCGCACTTTTTACACAGGCGCAAGTTCCGGCGCATACTGTGACGTGGGTTGCCTATAACTCCGTTTATCTGCGTTTATCTCAGTTTACATGCAAACGCGCAACCGGAGTTTTCCAAAATCTCCACTCTGGCCGGAGTTTTTAGAAAGACTCGTTTTCAGAGGAGAAATCTCCGTTTGCGTGTAAACGAAGGGCACAAACGAAGGAAGATGTCTC